GCGGGTGTCAGCGGGCTGGCAGCACTCTAGATTGTCAGGGATATGACCGATGGCATGTGTGTCATACATGGCATACCTGTCATACATGTCATACCTGTCATACCATACCATGCCATGTCATGTCATGTCATGTCATATCATGTCATGTCATGTCATCTCATGTCATGTCATGTCATGTCATGGCATATGTTATAATGACGTACAGTCGTCGAGTATTGTCAGTACGCTCGACTATGACATGTACCGTCATAATATCTGTCATCCACTCACCATGAGTGACATCTGTCATCGAGAGGCCGAGTACGGCATCTCGATGGCGAAGCAAGACAAGTTCTTGAAGAACAAACTGTTCTGAGAGGACGCGTCTTCGTTTCAAGCATGAACTGAACAACATGCGAGTATCAACAGGCTAATTCGACCAGCCGATACTGTTAGTTCACCCAATGCCCTCGGGTTCACAACCCGATGGTGGTAACGCTTATGAAGCGTGAGGGCATTGGTATATGAGGAGCATTGCGCTCAAGCAGATGCTTCTGGACACCAGAGACTGCACTCATACCCCACCAAATAGACTATTGTTGCGCGTTGCTACAGTTCAATAGCAGCCGCATAGTCTGAAAGGTTGTATATCAACCTTGACAGTGGTTATTCTCCGTCCACGCGACGAACGATGACATACGAGTGTGTGCAGCAGTAGATATATTGTATATAGATTGTATATTGTGTGTGTGACAGGTATCGCGCATACATACCGGCGACAGGGCTCGCACATATACGAACATATACGAATATCTACAAGCGAATAACAGCATTCGCTGCAATATCGTCAGCAAACGGAGTGCGCGAGAAATCATCATCGCGAACGCATTCGCAGCTGATAGCATTCGCAGTAAAATCGTCAGCAAATAATCAGCGACAAGGTGTGCGCACTGCGTACGGATCGCACATACATGCTGTCAGCATTTCGCAGGGTTGGTACGATATGCGACATACGGACGCGCGAATGAAAAATCATCATCAGTATATATGATTCGTATCAACTGCGGCAGGACGCACGGAGTTTCGTTATACGCGCGATGGCATTCGTACCATGCGACATGCACCGGCGACAGCGATGTTCGCTATCCGCACTAATCGTTCAGTGCAGCGCATGCATATGATTCGTTATTTGCAGATGATTTACACGAATCGCTCATCGACGCGCACGTACGATGATTTAGCTCGTCAGGCGATGCGCACCTGCTATGATTTCATCGTATGCATGGGACGCGCGATAGAGGGCGCATTATCCGTGATGCATCTACATGCAGCGCGTCATACAATATGTGTTGCGCGCGCACGCGTGATCCATGATGCATCAACATGCAGCGCGTCATACAATATGTGTTGCGCGCGCACATAGCATGCAAACATGATGTTCGTTCAAATACTCGCAGATGTACATACAATATTTGCAGTCGGACGTACAATTTAACATCAGATGAACATTGATGCTGCGCAGTGATATGTGTATTATACCAATCAGCAGTATACACACATATGCTGTATAATAATAGTGTGCACTATCATTTCACACACATACTATGGTATACACCATGCAGCACAATTCCACTATTATAACACATGCTGACAGTGAGTGATAAGTTAATACACTTATACCACTAACCACAATGTCGCGAACTTATGCACGAAGCGTCCACACAAAGCATAACTCTCTAGCCCTACTACTAAACAGTCTTACTTATTGTCAGCGCTTCTATAATACTAGCTCAGCTCTGCATATGTTGCCTTATATGCCTTCCACAGTTGGCTTGCTACTGTAACTACACAAAATCTCAAAATTTTTGATATCTCCTTCCTCTTTTCATAACTTATGCAAGCTCTTTTTCTCAACATGAAAAAGACTGTTAATTACAGTTCTGACGCTATCGTACAAGAGCAAGTTCCACAAATGTATATCTTTACAAGCAGAAGAATGCTGTATCTCATAAATTATCTCATAACACTGCTGTTTTCGCGGTCTAGGCGAGTCCTGGCTATTTTCGGAATCACTGTTACGAAGGCAAAACAAAAATGAGCGTCTGCCTCACCCTTCCACGCCGCCCTACTTATTCTCACTATCTCTAAACAAGTGTAACACCCGCTTATCTTTCCGTATCTCTTCACTGTCATAACTCCTCACGCGTACCGTACAGCGCGTGTCCTATGTTCGTCACAGAGACTGCTACAGCAAGTGTCACAACCCGGCTGAGGTACACGATAAGCCGTGGTTTGTGACAGCTGTCGCGAACTTATGCACGAAGCGTCCACACAAAGCATAACTCTCTAGCCCTACTACTAAACAGTCTTACTTATTGTCAGCGCTTCTATAATACTAGCTCAGCTCTGCATATGTTGCCTTATATGCCTTCCACAGTTGGCTTGCTACTGTAACTACACAAAATCTCAAAAATTTTGATATCTCCTTCCTCTTTTCATAACTTATGCAAGCTCTTTTTCTCAACATCCCCCATCTGTAGCTGCCACTGGTAGCACAGACATTAAACAAGAGCTTGCTCAGCATCTTCTGTTGTGACACCGTTCATCGCGAACTTGCCCATGCTGAAGGTAAACATACCCACTCCAGAAGCTTCTCCTCCTCGTAGCATCCTGGCCCGTGTCAGAGGATTCCGAAACACCATGACCCACATGCATCTTCTGCCAATAGGCCCATGTTCTAAGTGCCCAATCACATGTAAGCGTCCAGCGTGACACAACTTACGGAAGTATTGTGCCCTGCTTTCTGTCATATCTGTCATGTAGTGCGATGGCACATGAATACAAGCCACCACTCGGCTGGCCAGCACTGCCAATGGCAACGCAATATCCAACACTGCGAACCAGGGTGAGGTCACCACCGCGTCGCACACCCCATACTTCTCCTTCCAGGCGCGATAATTGCCCGGTTGTAAAGCATTAAGGGCTTCGTGCCATTTCAGCTGCAGGTTCCAATCATTGTTCATAACCTTCAGGTGAGGCCATTCCAGTGACATAACCTTGCCAATGACACCTGTGCCAGCCCAGGGATCCCAGACCTGTGTGATCTTCTCCCAAGTCACCTCGTGCGCCAGACGTCTGACCTCCTGAGGAACTGTCATCACCAACTCTAAGCCCCAATCCAGTTGACTGGCAATTTTCACCTGAGCTCTGCTCAACTGCGCGACATCCCCTCTCTTCTGTACTTCCTCGGGGCTCATGGCCTGCACCGTGGACGCCTTGCGGAGGCTTCTCGCGCGAGTGTGCTGTTCTGCACACTTTCTGCTCATGGGGTCTAAAACCCTCAGGGCGCAAAGCAGCGCAAGACCCGCAAAGCGAGAGGAGTACCAGGGCGACAGAACCGGTTAAGCGTTGGCAGCGTAATTCGGGGACGGAACCTCGGGAAACCTCCAGCGCGGAAGGGGACTCAGACCCAAGGACTGAGGGGCACGGGACCCAAGAACCCGAGGCTTAAAAGCCAGGGGGACTCAGACCCAAGGACTGAGGGACACGGGACCCGAGAACCCGAGGCTTAGAAGCCAGCATCACTGTGCATGTTTGTTGATCCCCAGACAATGTAAATACAGGCGAACACTAACGCTAGCGAGGACGTAAGCGCGCGCCTAAAATGGGGGGGAGAGTTGTGCTAGGGTAAGTCACGAGACAGAATGACGGCGCGTCAGAGCTACGAGTGACGGGTACTATGACAGTCACCAGTGACAGGCATTTATGTGACCAGATGACAAGAGGGTCTGACAGAAATGACTGACAGAAATGCCTGACCCGAAAGTGAGTTTTGGTGGGAAAACCAGCAGTCAGAGAAATTGGAGGGAAAGCTGGAGACCTCCAATATTGCCAAGTCAGCACAGTTATAATTATTCAGAGTGATATGGAGTGGCTCGGAATATAGTGATGATATAACTGGGCTAGTCGGCAGATTCTATGATGTGACAGATCGAGTTCTCATGAAGTATGATGGGACCTGACTGGAGTCGACATCGAGTTATGTTCGAAAGTTCGAGATCGGAAACCATGGCATAAAGCAGCCGAGCAGGCTGAATGAAACAGTTTGGAATTTGTTACTGTGAACAGCCACACCTGGCTGTTGTAACTCCGACATTTAAGAAAGATCCGATTCACATATATGTATCATGCTTACAGCAATATATATCTCTTTGTAGGATTGAACTAGGTTCCCTGCATTGTGTAAGTAGTCTTAGAAGCTCTTAGAGAGCACCCCCGAACAGATAGTGTGTGCCCGATGTACATCATCCGACAAGCCCCAGTTGCACAGGATGCAAAGGGACCTTATTGGATGGTGATAGCTGCATTGGGTACCCTAACTTTTGCACAATTTTATGATCATCTATTGCGATTCGTCAAAATCGAATATTATCATCGAATTCCTCGACAGCAAGTTACTATAGAACGCCTAACATGTGACCTATATATGAATATATTATGTAAGTTAACGAACCCTAACCAAAATGCGTTTTTAGACCCCCCGTAGGCGCGATGTATGTGCGATTAATCGGGAGGTCACGGGTTCGAGCCCCGTCGCGAATACATGTTCGCCTCGATGGAAAGTGCTTGACCCATCTCAAACAGTGAAAAAAAAACCCTTACTATTTGCGGAACCCTTATATTGTTATTCTCGTAACGGCTCGCAGATTCGGTGTCTAATGTAACGGCAAGATGGGCGCGATATGACCCTGAGCTGATGACGCGGGAACGGGCTGCATCCCGAAATTTTCAAATCGGCTCACAGTAAGCCGCCACGTCATCACATCGACCGAACTGTGATCATGAATTGGAATACGAATCGTCAGGTGACGACCTGATTTTCAAAGGTGGGAGATAGGTTAGAGATCGTCGATGCAGTCAATCAGATGTTGATGGTACGTCATCGAAGCTGTGCGAAATCGCGATCTGTGTCATATCAGAAACTGTACGAGTATCCCTGAACGCTCACCGATGTCATCAATGCCTTCGCGTAGCTCAGCGGATAGAGCGACCGTGATTCAATCGGGAGGTCATGGGTTGGAGCCCCGTCGCGGACACATTTTTGCCGCGATGGAAAGTGCTCGACCCATCTCAAACAGTGAAAATCTCCGTTACTACTTATAGATCCTAAGAATATATAAAAGTTAAAAGAGATACTGCGGCGCGACAGTATGGTAGGAGAATGCGTATAATTATAATTATAATTATATACACACACACAACGGTATATATATATATATACCGTAACATGCGATGACCCGCGCACACACATATATTTAAGTCGGTAATAATATGATGTATTATACGCATTGTAAGGATACCTCACATACACAAACCGTATGTAAATATGGTTCGTACGCATGAGATGGCCCGAATCCCCTTCACGCAGGATGTACGCGTCCCGATGTTTTCCGGAGCCCGCTGTATAGTGGATGCACCCTGTTATATATAACATGTTCAGGCCATATCATTGGCTCCCACGCATGGAGGATTATATAATGTATGTCTGTATGTTGTAGCACAAAAGCTAGTTTAGCACGGATGCTAGTTTAGCACGGATGCTAGTAGCTAAGTCAGGCAGGGATGATGCAATTATTATATATAGAAAATATATTTGCTTTAGAGCTGTATCATTGAGCATGGAAGAAGGCTATGCGGAAATGTAGTTTGGGAAAATAGAGGGAAATCGATAGTCTATGTACATGGGAGGAGCAGGAACAACTATGTGAAATGCAGCAAGTGCCTTTACTGCTTTTGCGATTGCCATCGTCAGGGTTGCGGTCGAGAAAGGTGTCGCTGATGTTAGTGCTCGAGTAGCCTGCAAGTGAAGGGGGTGTTGTTAGTGCGCACTTGCCCCTTGGGCACAATGCAATGCATGACATATGCAATATCACTCTGCCCCCTGGGCACAATGCGTTTAAGCACAGTGGAAGCGCACCCCATAGGCACAATGCAGTGAATGGCAAAGTTAGTGCACACGCACTGCGCATAATGCTGCTAAGGGCAGAGGCAGTCGGTGCGTACTCTGTGGGGACAATGCAGTGAATGGCACGGGTAGCGCACTCTGCCTCCTGGGGCACAATGAACAGAACGGCTGGCAAGGGAAATGCACCGTGGTCTCCTGGGCACATTGCGGTGAATGGCAAAGGCAGTGTGCCCTCCTTGGCTGCCACCATGCAGAGCCCGTATGTCATCATATCGGCACAAGCATCAGACACTATCAGCCCGCGCCTCAGCTTCTGCACAGCTCAGCCCACCCTAAGCCGTCACACCGTCAGCATCACACCCCACACACTGTTAGCTGCCCTTCTGTGAAGCTCACGCAGCCCACCCCACACTGTTAGCTGTAGAACCTGCACACCGTCGGCCTTAGTACTTGCACAGCTCATCCTGCGCTACGCCGTTACACCGTGCCGACAAAAGACTGCTACAGGTGTCGAAATAATTGGTGGGCAATTGTGGATCACGCAGAACGAAGTGGTGCGTGGTAAAAGGTCCGTAACCTCATACGCTGACAGATAACAAGGCAGGGCGAATATACCATATCATATGAAATATAACTGTATATCAAACTGACGGAGGGTATCGGTGAACATGTGTAGCTCGAATATATCTAAGGGGGAAAAATAATGTAAGTACGGTGTGAGGCACAAGCTAGTCATGTACAACATGTCGAGTGATGTCACTAGAAGGACAGAGAGTGAGAGTGAGACTGCTGTATGCGTACAGGCACTGCGTGCATACGAGTACTGTGAGTCTACGGTATATCAGGCTAATATCAGGTCCGATATGAATGCGAAGTTCAACCCTTCAACGCTATTGTGTTTTGACGGCAGAACCACACGTGAACCACGCTGTCCGCATGCTCCTCATGAAAACGGGTGAGAACCGAATTTTAGGAATTCATGAGGACTTTGGGCGCATCCATGAAAGGTTCGAGCCAAACTTTCAGCGGAGTTTCTGTGATGCATATGATTTCCTGTTGTCGCACTTGATGTACCGCATATTTTCGCAAAGGGCTAAAGCGCAAGGGAAGCGTTGAGCCGATTTTGTACTTTGGGCGGAAGGGCAAACCCCAACTTTTCAAAGTACAAATTTGCCGAGTACTTTCATTGTGCTTGGCTTGCCGAAAATGAACTCGCATATTTACGGCTGCTTATCGAAAAATGAGCGTTTAGTCGTCGCTAACAAGCTTCGGCGTCAAGCGTGGCGTTGCTCCTGTTGTTGTTAATTCAGACCCAACACGAATAAACGGCCCAACGTCTCGGATCAAACGCACTCGCTCCACAGGAAAGTTTGTTAGTATTGCTCGAGACGCATACCCGCTGCGCAGTACGTATGACTCGCATCTCCGTCGCTAACGGGGCGAGTCCTACACCCATCACTTATGGACAGCGGAGACGTGTGCAGAATGTTTTGTAACGTGCCCGATACACGCGGACTCTCGGAGTTCTTGCGTCTCAACGAAGGACAATGTCCGAATCATTCCGCACACCGTTGCTAAGATTACGTGACCTGCAACTCCGTCGCGAACCCGTGGAGTCCGATATGTGCACCAATCGATCATGGACTGCGCGGACGCGCGCATAATGGCTTGAATCATTCCTAAGACGCAAGAACTCGGTGAATGCGTACATCCCATCCACGTTTCGAGGCCTTCTAGAGACACCGCTACAAAAATGTTGGGATCCATACGGTGTCCTTCTTTTCTGGAATAATGAATTTTGTTTTAGAAATATAACGGAATGCGCTGGTTGGCTGCCCGTGTTCCGTGCCATAGCATTCTGCTGTCGTCATACGCGCGGTCGCAAACATAGGCAGAAACTGTAAACTCGTCGATTGCCACTCCTGACCTGGTAGCAGTGCACCAGGAGCAAATGCATAATTTCGATTGACGCAGGACGGTGCCTGAGAGGACACGTTGTTTTCGCGATGAGGCTCGGTGACCCATAGCATGCCCTCCCCCCACTAAACACTATTCTTCCTCGCGCGTCAAGCAGTCGAGGGAGTGTTAGATAGGGCTTATTACTCTGATGACTGCATTTGTGGCAACGACTGGCGCAATTGCTGCATAAGCTAGAATATCAGTACTTTTACTATACAAAAGCAGTTAGAAAATGAGAGCATTGGAAAATAAATCATGCTCCCAAAAAAAAACCATAAACATGCAATCATTGTTACCCACTGTCCTTCTCATGACGCAGACGAGCTTCAACGATTGCTTCTTCCAATGTTGCTATGAGAAGATGCATGCCTACTTTTATCACTGCCTCACAGGCTGCATACTTATAAGAATGCCCGCCTCAGGAGGCATGCCAGTGCTGCAAAACCCATAACTGGGGAAAGATATCCAGAACCTGCACACACACACCATGCCCAAGTTGGCTACCTCTTCTCCACATGACATCCATCGATTCAAATGGTGCGTTATGGCCATTACGAGGCCCATGCACCAGATACAAAGTTGTACACACGCATACTCTCAATTATCACACCCTAAGGAGTCTCTTACAGAGAAAGCATGGAAGACACGTACCAGAGTCGTCTTCTGCAGCAATCCCTGGTGGCGGTGCATAGCTTTCACGGCGGTATTCGTGCTCCGGGGGTGGCGAAGCACGCTCCACCAATTCCCGGAATTCCATTTTTGTGATCTTATATTGTCGCCTCGTGCTATTTGAGAGCAGGTTAAGGGGATCCTCCCCTTGCATCGAGTCTTGCAAATATCGTGCATGAGTTCCGAAGCCTTGAGGAAATAAGAGCTTCGCGTTGAACTGCGACTCCACAAAACCACCTCAGGAAACGACCACCCGGCTCAACAGCGCTCGCCATGCGATGCGCATAGTGCAGCGAAGGTAACACTCCTTGGCGTTGATTCCTGTCTGTTAGGGATGACATGGGCGATATACAGGCATTGATGGACAACACATCGAGAGGGTCACCCACAAATGGGCAGGAGGTTCGCAGGAGAGTTTGTGACGTGATTAGGAAGCATTTCAGGACGAGGTCGTGGAGATCAAGTGTCCAGTAGCGATTTCCTTAACTCGTAGCACTGCAGACCGAATGCTTTCCCCCGCGCCTGCAGCCTCTCGCAAATGCTGAACAACGTTTCCAACAAGGATTCCTTACGAAGCGGTGCAGCAAAATTGGTGGCGTGATTACCGTGATATGAGAAGGGTCAAGCGTTGTATTTGAAGGCGTCATTGAAAAATTGTGTAAACGGACATTTTGAGTGACGGAATAGGCCATTTCATGAAGAGCAGCTTTCATACTTTGGAAAAAGGTGCCCTGCGCGCAGACCAGCTCCTTAGTGTGATAGCCTCAATTAGTTGGAGCCTTGGGGATGACTGGATCTTGTGTGGGCAGCACATTCCCTCCATCGGATCCCATCGGCCATTTTAGGGAAATCCCAGCGCATTCCCAGTCACCCATTGGGATACCCTGCTAGGGAGAAAGGCTCCGGGTTCTCCAAAATCTTGCATCAGCTATGTAACAGGGCATCATCATCGCCTCTCCAGGTTGCAGGCAAGCCGTCATGGGTCCACCTTGCAGCAAGTTCGTCACGGTTTCAGCTGGCAGGCAGGCCGTCATGGGTCCACCTGGCAAGCAGGCC